TCGCTCTTTATATATAAAAGCATTTAACGGGATATTCGTTGTTCTTTACGTTCAGATACTAATAAAAAAATAAATAAATGTGCCAACATGATTATACTCTATAGACTGCTAATATGCTAATTATATTTTATTACAACCAGAAATGAATAAGGCGTGTGTAACTATAATTAATATATTTATAACTTATTATATTTAATATCATTCATTTTGGAAGGATTACGCCCGCCGCAGACTCATTACTTCAATATAGTATGATGCAAAACGAATGAAAAATCTACTGTTTGATCTGTGACCGTGTTRAAATAGTACGAAAAAGACGTTATGGTTAACTGGATATATTTTGAACAAAATATTTAGTTATTATTTTATAAGTGATTATAATAATTAAAAAATAATAATTAATTTAATTTGAACAGTGCTGCAGACCTTGTGCTGTTATTATTTTTCTCTCTGATACCTAGGTATTAACTTTAAARCTTTGACTGTTGAATAATATTATACTATTGTAATTAGTTTGATATTATAACTTTAACGTTCGTTTAACGTTGTAGACATAACTCAAGCGTTAGACTCGAGTTAACTTTTTTCCATAAACTTGCACCAATCCCTTCGATAGCCATCTTATAATCACCCGACGTTTCCGCTGCCACCACAAAACCTATTCAAATGCTTAATCGTCCAAACATTCCGCAAGCGTATGTTATAAAATACTGCACGCAGGTAGGTGCGTGAAGAACGGGATCCTGGGTAGACTGAGATGGATAGGCACCGAGATCGCAGACGCCACGCAGACGATACATCTTCGCGGTAAAGGTGCGCYGCCGTAACGATAATAAATCTTCTTCGCATTAGATCGATCGATGGCCATTGGCCACGGATAKTCCTTCGAACCAGAAAAGGCGTCCGTATATTATTATGTACCTCTGTCCGCGTACAAATACATCCGTCCGTCCGGAAATTCACAGAGTCCGGTAATAAATTTCCGATTTCACGAGCACCCGACCGTATGTATTTGTGTGAACATTTATATTTGTGTGTGTGTGTGGGAGGGGGAGAAGCTATCTGTTGTAAGAGCGCTGCACTAGATAATAATTATATACCTACGACTAGAYCTCAGGAGGCAAAGAACAGACACRCACAGTATTGGGTGACAAGGAAATCTGTTCAAATACAGGGAATTTATTTTTAACGGACGTAAAAATCATTATTTCACATGTTKTAGGTACCTATTATGTTCAAGAAATTAATACGTTAAGACCACGTATCACTATACAAGAATCAATGCAATTATTTTATGATCCCATGATAGTGATCTACCATTTTTCAAGTAYTTTTCTGAACCCTTCCGAAATTAAAAAGGGKTTTTTTWWAAATATAATTTRATATTTATTTGTTAAAAATTAAAAATATTTGAAAATACACTGACATTACTCAGTTTATGGGTTTCGATATAATGTTCGACACTCRGGTTACTTTGAGTTGGAAACTGTGGCGAGTAAATCGTCTCGTCGTAAAAGGGAATGTGACGATATAGATGATTATTATAGACCATAGTCCATTRACATTAAGGATGAAAACGATTCCTATTTGAGGTCATTAAAAAGTTATATAGTTTTCACTCGGACGCGCTTGGGAAACCATAATTCTGGGAAAAATGGTTGTATTAAAGTGTACCACGTGATGACTATTATATACAAAACATTATAGCATATACGTACAATATTATATTGACTCGATTGCAAATCGATAGCTATAATAAAATAATGGTCATTGGTTGCTCGAAACTTTTGTAGTTTTTTAGATGAAAAAATATCAAATAAAGTATAATAACGATAATATAATGTATAATATTGTATAATAAATTATGTATAAAACAAAACCCTAGTGTAAAAAAYTATATCTCTAAAGGGTTGTTATTTGAATTGCTAAATTTTTATTTACCGATAAAATGTCAAATGCAGTGCAGAGGAAGCGTAAAAATAAAAAAATATATTATATTATAAATAATAGGTAGGTAAAATTTAATGTTA